TCTTCGTTTAAGCCAGCGGGACAGGCGAAATTCGACGGTTCTACAGATTTTACCGATGTTTGCCTTTCTCTTTTAAACCGGATAAGAACGGCGATAAAATTGTACAGAATAGAAATGCGTTCCTCGATAAACCGTCCATCGTTTCGTAACCGTCGACACGAGCGATATTCTCGTTCTTTATGGTCGTTTCCCTCCAAACGATTTCCCCTCGAGTCGTCCCGGAGTTATGAAAACACTTTCGGTACCTCGCCGAGAGACGACGTACAATCGTAAACGAGATTTCTCTCTCTGTTACCGTTCGTTCATCCGCTCGGTTCAATTTTCCTTTAATTATAAACGTCAACCAGGAAATCAGACCCAGGCCGTTTATTCTGTAAATACGCAGGGGTGAGTTAATAATAAATACACAATGACCACTTTATTCGTTTCATCGAACAATATTACACGTGAATTCATTATTTCGACGAGCCAGATGCATCCTCGTAATAATGCTTGTATAAAATGTCGCGTACTTTCTGAGAAACCTGACAATTGATGTCTTATTTACAGCGGCTGGTCTGACGAGACACGTGTAAATGGAACCGAGGCTGAGCCCGCAGGAGGGAAGGAACGGTTAACGTTGAAGCCATTATCAACGAAGCAGGCTGCCAGTGGATAGCTGTACGGCGAATAATACAAGGGGATCCGGCTAATCCCGGAAAAATCCGTCGTGAATGAAAGCCTTTCTTCTTCCTTTCATTCACCACTCGATACTACCTGTTACGTATACCGGCTTTTCACTATTTCTACCCAGTTATCGCGTCCAGGCTTGTCCGTATACTCGCTGATAAAAGGTTACAAATCGCGAAATAAACCGTTCTCGCCCTTCGATGGATCTTCCAGAAGACACCCAATGATTTTAACGTTTATTTCCAGTCTACATTTAAAGAACTATGAATTATTATTAAAAAAATGTTTTAATCTGTAGGACTTCTATTCCTACACATAAAAAATCTGCATTCAAAGAACTATGAATTCTTATTAAAAAAACGTTTTAATCTGTAGGACTTCTATTCCTAAATAAATTAGCCTTGGTTGATGAAAACTCTTTATTCAAATATATTCATTCAACAGAACTCGAATCGCAAAAGAAATCCGTCTCGGTCCAAGCCCGACTGCTCAGACTTTTCTTTATTCCATCGAAGGCCGTCAAATGTTTATATTAACCCTTCCCAATCCTCAAAGTTTATCAACGTTTTCGAAGAATCGATCATATCCTCCTCTCTTCGAAATTGTTCCTTACAAATCGCAGAATTATTTAATTGTTAATTATTTCTGGCTACTATTTCGATCGTTCATAGGAGAAATATCGTAAGTAGGGAGGGGAAATGGGATCTAGGAAATGAACAGTCGCTGGGCAACCCTTCTCGGGCGACAGAAAATAATGTAACACCTGTAAAACGCCCTGGGGATTATCCGCTGCGGAGCGGCACGGAGGTAGAATAAGAACAACCGTGAGCACCGGTGTAGCTTGAACGTCGTACACGTATATTCAGCATGTTGAAACGATAGCTAGCAGGGAAAAAGCGCGGCCGCGTTGTGGTGGGAAAACTGGAAGGTCTGGCTAATCCATGAAAAATCCCTGGTGAACCAACAACTCTTTATTCTACCTTGAAAGGAAACATTCTTGTTCCGAGAGAAAAAATTATTTTTATAAGTAGAAGCACTTCGGAGATGGAATCGTTGCACGTCGCGTTTTATGTAATACCTTTGGTTTAAATACGTACTTCACTTGGGAAAAAAAAATTTATGCATTATTATTTGTACATTTGCCCAAAAGCAGTCAAAATTACTTCCTTGGGCAATCTAGTGTTAATACAAGAAATTTGATTTCGTGTCAGTTTTTTTAATCAGTGATAAAGAACGCGTAAGAACGTAAATGCTGGGTTTAGGAGCGGCAAGGGAACGCATCAATTCTCTAGTGGATGAGCTTCAATCAGCCTTGAAATTCAACTAGTTCGATCCTATCGTTCTGTCGGTTCACCATCGATTGGCTAGATGAAACACGATTACCTGGACGCACGCCTGTTGTGCCTGTGATCGCGCGGACCTTGAAATCCCATCAGTTGCGGGTTTTTGGTTGATTCGCCGCCCGGATCGGAATTGTTTTAACGGCCGGCCCACCGTATGCGATCCGAGCTTACGGAACAGCTATTACAGGAATCCTCGCGGGCGGCCGTTACGCGTGAATCTTGCTAAACAGAGATCTGAATTTGCCCAGCATTATGGAGCGTTAGAAGTTCTGTGAACGGCTCGAGTTACGTCGTCGAGTTAATATTTTTCTGTATGAAGCGGAAAGAATTCGTTGAAACACCGTGGCTTTCATGGGAACAGGAATTTCGTGAATCTGAGGGACTTTATAATCCGCCTCTGCCCCCCCGGAGATGGATATTAACGTCGAGGGGGCCGTGTAACTTTCGCTGTTACGGACAGATTACATTCTTTATCTCGAACGCGATACGCCGGATTTAAATGAAATTTAAATGAAATTCCGCTGCTACGCCACTGTCCCTGATGAAACTTCGTATCATACGCTTGGCCGTTTTAAAATCGTTTCAAGATTAACAGAGCTTCGAGTGATCCTGCTCGAAGATTGACAAAAAAAAAAAAAAGATAAAGATCAAATCGTTGAGACGTTGTTCATGAATTATTTTTATATAATCATAATTAATCGTAATTTTATATTAAAATCAACGATTTTATTAATATTTTCGAGTATAATGTTTTACGCTTTTTAAAAGTGAAGATAAACGGTGAGAGTAGATTCATCTTACGAGAAGAATGCATCATGTTCGAGCAGAATTTTCTGAAGAATGATGGCTGCAGCGAAACAGAGTGGTTATCGGCGCGCAGGCTCTCGCGAGGTGAGTAAAATATAATACGCTCGAGGGGGCCTGGGAACTGGCCGTACCTCTACCTATCCTCCTTCTATTTCTCAATCTATCCTCGCCTATTTGGCTCGATCGGCCTAAGAAGCCGGCGTTCCTTGTCAGATCCGGCATCGATTCCTAGGATTTGAATGCTTTATAGTCCGGGCACGAATTCTTTACGTCACACTCCGTCGGCTTCCCCGAAATCTCCCTCCAGCCAATCCCAGATTCGTCCGTGAAGCTCCGCGAAAAATTCTCTGTTTCCTTTCTGATAGGATCGAATACAAACATTTATTAAAGAATTATTCGAATTACACAGTCTGAATTATATAAATAAATGTGCAAAGGTGTTGAATTGGCTGTTTCGCGTTAACCACCCTTAAAGCTGCTGGCTAATTACTTTTTTTCCTCTCTGGCCGTTGGAGTTACGGTCAAGTTCTCGAGGTTGCCGCAAACGAGACTCATTTAACTCCGACCCCTGTCTTTTACCGCGCCTCCCTTAGCCGGTAGACAAGCTCAAAGATCGGCGTCTGTCAAAGCGGGGTACGAGGATCCGGCGGCGATGGTAATTCCCCTTTGAAGGGGCGTGAAATATTTATTCGCGTCGCCGATCGACTCTGTTCTACGCTAGACGTCGAAATAAAAACGACGCGGGGACGACGACGACGACGCCCGCTCGGGTAAGCCGTAACTCGATTCCAATGCGGCGAGAAAGTCAGGACGGTGCAATTTGAATTAGCGGCCTGTTTAAAGAAACTCCCGACCTTTGTCCGATGAATTTTTAAACCTGATCCGGGTAAAAGCTGATGAATATTGAACGGCAACTTTCTGGGTAACTGGAAGTTTGTTTAATGAGGGGCTGATTAAAGTTTCAGATGGAAACAGGTGACGCGACCGCCGGACAGTCTTCCAGGGCACAGTTTATTAGATCATGAATTGATCCCTTGGGACATCGAAATATTTACTTCACACAGGAAATGAGTCCCGGGTATAAAATAACCGTCTCTCGTGATTAGTCTGCACCGAGGTCAATGCTGAACTACTGTTTCCACGTTTTTCTTTACTTTTATTTGATGAGATTGCTTCGATTCAATCTTCGTCATGAATACTGACTCACTATGTACGATAATCAATAATAGGAAATAAATAAAATACGTCACTTTCCAATATCTAATTATCTTGGAAATTGGTTAAAGCGTTTTCATAAAAAATAATGATTTTTCTATGACCGGGCGAAATTCATGCAAACCTTTGTCTTCGCGGAAGGGTCGTGCACTTCCGTTGGTCTGGTGCGTCCTCGGGACACGAAGTAAGTTCATTAACGTGAATGAGATGTTCCCCTGAAGAGGAAGCCACTTTCATCGGGGAACGCCTCGTACCTCGAGGACGCCTCTCAAAGCCTTCTTATCGTTGCTTTAACACGTCGTTACATACAAGGGGAACCTCCGGCTTGTGTACCTGCAAAAGTAATTCGCCGCAACTTTTCTAATCTCCCTTAACGTCAGGTTATCACGCTCCCAGCCGATATTTATCGATTCGGTGGACCAAGTTTTTGAACATCTTCCTTAATCGAATATGCAATGCATATTCTTGCCCATAGAATGCATTCTTTATATTTCCTGCACGTCGAACTTTCCAACTAAAATCCGCAGTCTGATTATAAATATAAATAATAATGAAGCTATTTTTTAATCAAACTAAGTAATACAAATGCAATAAATAAATTGTATCCTCTGGCAGTAAATTAAATCTCGATCGAAATATTTTATTTATAAATATAAAGACACGTGTGTGTTTTCTATTACTTCCAGCAGGAAGTTAAATTTCGATCCTGTCAAAGTCCGGGCACGAATCAAATTAAAAAAGAACTATTCCGAGCTGAGAAACTTTTCGAAAATTCTGGCGTGCATCGAGCGCGATTCGAAGCGTAGGAAAGTTCGTAAACGATCGCGAAGCGATTTTCCCGAAAATAAAAGTTTCAGGTTGTAAGACAGCCGCCCAGCGGCGCTCTCGCCACTCGACGACGCGTGTTCCCGATTTAATTTTAGCACTTACGAACTCCCAATCAGTCCACTCGCGAGTTCCTACGAGGCTGCGCCTGCACGCGTGCGGAATCTACGCCTCTGATAGTGGTGACGTTCCGATGCGTAGAAAGTGTCAAAATGAATAATTTAAATGAATGAAATAATCGAAATAAATTTCGGTGCCAGTCGCTTGTCGACTTGTGTTTAAAAAACAGTTTAGGTAAAAAGTGTGTCATTTTTCGTCTATTTTGGTGAACGTTTCGCAGCACATATTCCACGTTTCCGAAGGAATTCGTCTTCCGAACGAAAGATGATTATTTTATTTTGAATTATTGCGATTCCTCTTTGCGCCGTATTTCGACGAGCGTGGACGGAGCCGCGTGTTCCAAGAATATCCGCGTGACACTAGGCCCGCAAGGGCAGCCGAAAGTTCAACATCCTCGGCGAAAGCGACGCTCGTCTTCCCTTAAGCATCTCTAATCACTCCGAAACGCGAGATCCCCGTTTATATCCCCTAGTCTCGGTGAACTCCGTTAAACTCGAAAGTCAGCTGGAAAACCGAAAGATAATTCATGCCGCTGGACACACGGTCGCCCTAATGGCGGCGGTATCTCGTCAGGAAGGGAAAACTTTCGTGCGGATTCAGGCATTCTCCCGGATTCAATCCCTGTCCGCGGTTCCTTTCAGGCTCGAGAAATCGCTCGGCTGAAAATCGCGTTAGGAACGTCGGTAAACGCGTCACGTAGCCCGGCGAAACTTGGTTGCTGGTGAATGAAAAAAAAAAAAAAAGGAAACGGGGGGGAAAAAGGCGAGAAGAGGTGGGAGCGAGGGGGTCGGGTTAAAGGAAGAAAACGGACGTGTTATTCGGTCGACGATCAAGCCGCGGATGTAAATTACGGGTATTCATAATTTAACGCTATTGAGTGCTTTTAAACGCACGTTAAAGCTGGCCGTCCCGCGGGTTTTATCGCACGCCCGCGTAATCCGGTTTGCCACGCGTGCGTGCCACGTTTTTTCCACGTAAATTTCGTCGAATGATTTTCACACCGTGCTAAAATCGTTCCCCTTTCCCGCGGTGCATTGCCAGCCCGATGAATGGGTCAAATTGAAACCCCGATTTACCACCCCTCCCTCCGCTCGGTCCCGGAGGGCGAGGGGGGTCTCGTTTACTACGAGTAAACTTGCCTTGCCCTTTTCCGTTCTGTAATTCGTTTGCCCTGCTAATTATTGCCAACAGGAGAAACTGCTGTTTCGAGGAAGCTGGAATTTAATTAATTAACTGCGATTCGAAGTTACTTCGATATCGTTTAATTAAACAGATCGCAAACTTGGCACGTTTTTATACGATTGCTTTAGACGAAACTTTGAGTTCAATGTTGTTTATTCAAGTTCTGTTTCTATCGTCGTAATTCTTATCCGTTCGAACTCTTTGTCCGACAGCTTTGAACGACTTCGTAAATCATACGTGGCAGAGAATTTTTAACAGAGGCTGTTAGGAATCGCGAGCTCGGAGCGAAGTTTACCAACAGCAGAAGCGTTCTATTTAGAGCGAAAATAGAGCGTTCTCTGTCCCTCTTGCCGCGTACGTGCGTTCACCCAAGTTCCGCCCAAGAATATCCCGCTGGAGGACACCGTGGACCGCTTTTTCTCGCCTCGTAATCGACGTTAGGCAGCGAGACTGAGATCATTCTTGCTCCCTAAGACAGTCGGCCGTGTCTCGACGCGACGATGTCGCACCAAGTGCGAACTCGGTAGCCTTGACTTTCATTCCGGATGCGAACATCTTGCAAGTGCGATTCTCGAAACTGTGCAGAACGAAAATGTGACGCAGAGATAAACGTCGGTGAAAATGTGAAGATTTCGAAAGTTCGAGCCAGTCGATCGATTTTCCATCCGGTCCGAACCACCGGAAGTCGCGTCGAAGAATTATTTTTACCCAGCGGTGACAGGTCTTGATTCGTGTCCAGACCGTTGGAAATTCATTGCCACGGTTTCCGGTCGGACGATCGAACAAATGTCGAGGATGCTGCGACTGGAACTGGTGGGTCTCGTGCTGCTGGCCTGCACCCAGATACTCACGGAGCACCGCGATTTCTACGAGCCCAGACCGCAGTACGGTCACTACTCGAGGTTCCACGACCCTCCGGAACGCGTGACCAGGGAGGTGCGCGTGAAACAGGGTCGTCTCCGTGGGATCGTCGTCCAGCCGCGGACCAACCACGACCTCCAAGCCGTCGACGTATTCCTCGGTGAGTTCTCCGTCTCCAAATCGATCGAGCGAATCAAGCTGATTGGATCGCGTTTATACGGGTTAATAAATCAGGCCACTAATTAGCATGCGATTAATAATAGCGAATTTATTTCGACACTCGTATAAAACAACTGTTGGTAATGTTGCGTTGTTGGACGAATTCGGACGGAACGAAATAGTCGGTGAGCTCGGAGCCAAAAAAGTCTCTGAAATGACAAAAGCTATTTCTTTGACAGTCAATTACAGTACTGGTGTACATGAATATGCTCTGGTCGGTCAAGCAGCCATTAGGACAGGTGCCCTAGGTGCGCCGTCAAACATGTCGCGATTACCAAGTACTTGAAATTAATTTACAAAGGCTGAAAATTTTTGTGCAGGTTACACATTGCATATGAAAAAGAATTATCATAGTCGGTGAGTTGTGCGTTAGGACGGGGGTGGTCGGTCAAGCCCGGAACGGTGGAACGGGTTCGATTCCGAGGGTCAATCACTGCTATTGAAATCCGATCACAATCATCGTTTAACATAGGAAGTTTCCAAGTTTCGGGGCCAATCACGCGGCGAATCGAAGCCCGGCAGACTGCGATAACACAGAGAGACCGACGCGATTTCCACTTTCCTGCCGATACGACGAAGTTTGGTCAGCCGGTCGGCGAAAGTTTCTCGCAGCTGCATCAGCTTCTCTCCTTCTATCTGTATTTCTCTTTCTCTCCATACGCGGCATTAGCTGCGATGTATCCGAGCCCCGATACGTCAAAGGGTCCAAAACGAGAAGCGCGCATGCTATTTCGGGAGTAGACACTCCCCGTCTATGATCCCTGGTCGCGTGCGCGTGCTGCCAAAGCGAAATCGAGCGGGTTTCTACCTTCTTGGGTTCCCTGAGAGCCCCTGACATTCCTTGGCACAGGATCCCGAGCATTTCCGTGCATGCTAACAGTTCCGCTTTGAGAAGCTACGCCGAGGAAGATCCAGGCAAATTAGGAATAAGGGTGTCTTTAAATTCTACGTCGAAATGATAAAAATCCTGTTTTCGTTCGAATAAACTAAACTAGAAAAGTTACATTTGATAATAGCATTTATACTGTTTAAACAGTTAATAACTCTGATGCATCAAGTACAGTTTGCCAATGAGTTTAACTGATTAATTATGCAAAAATGTCAAAGCTTAATATTATGATTCAGCTGCTCGCAATGGCCAGCTTTGGCGCTTGCAAATCATTACGGACGCAGAGTTAAAGTTTTGAACCAGTGCTATTCAGAATTGTAAGAACAAACTTAATTAGCTGATGGAACTAGCGTATTACAAGGCAAGCCGAAATTAATGAAGTTAAATTGAAACTCGCAGCAATTTTCGTTATTAATTGAAATACAGTTGTTTGCAGTCTCGGGTGTATTCTATTTCGGCTTTTATGCTAAACGCCGGACGACCTCCAGGCTAGTTCAAGTTTCCCAGAGAGATGTAGCTTACTATTTAAGCCAAGAGACGTACGCCATCAATCGTTTTATACGAGCCCGTCCTGTAATTAGTAATTACATTTATAAATAAATGTTATTATTATTTGGAATATTTCGTCTAAATGCTAAGCTCTTAATTCCTTCTGGAAGTGGCTCGGTTCGTTTCGAACCCCTCAGAGTCGAGTGTCGAACTCGGAAACTGGTTGAAAATTGACGCTGGTCGTCCGAAACGAGTGGACAATTAACTATCACGCTCGACGTTTCAGGAGTGCCTTACGCGGAGCCGCCGGTCGGCTCCTTAAGATTTTCTCCCCCGCGATCGCCGGAGCCGTGGCGCGGCGTCAGACAATCGCAAGAATTCGCGCCGGTCTGTCCGCAAGTGGTGCCGAACTTACGGGACGAAGTGAAACCGGTCAGGTACGAGTACCTGGAGAGGCTGTTACCGTACTTGTCGAACCAGAGCGAAGACTGTCTCTACTTGAACATCTATGCGCCGCACCAGCCCGAAGGTAAGTCGACCGAAGTTAATTGTTTCAAAGATCGGACACAGTTTCTGATCGGATTCAAGATTCATCGGAAACACTGTTTTAAATAACAGTAAATAACTGCATTTACCTTCATGTATTTTATTTAAGGATGTATTGGCTATATAGTCAATACCAAAATTTTATGTACCTTTGAAAAACGCATTGACTACAATTAAAAATAGTGCATTTTTCTTCTAATTTCGATATTTAATGAGTTAGGTATGATTATTTGGCATTTTATTGATGTTGACAAAAT